GCTTATGTATCGTACATGGAGACGAGTAACAGACAGACGTCGGAAGGGAGGATTTACAACAGCACATATGCACAGCTGTAAACGCTGAGGTTTAGCGGTGGAGTCGTACCATTGTGGCTGACTCACTGGGGTGGAGGTATTGGTGACATAGAAGGAGGTGGTGGGGATAGAGGCGCTCAGTCAGGCTTCCTGTCTTGGCACACCCTGCACTGCCCATTTCCTGCCTGCCTGCTGAAAAATACCCTGCTCCAGGTCCCTCCGGCTTAAAAAAAACCTCGCTCACTCAACCCAGACAGCGCCTGAGACGGTCAGTCAGGCCGAACATTTCATTCCGTCTACCCTCTCATATTTCCGGCCAGACTCTTCCAGGTGACTTTCAAGGAAAAATGTGTCCATAACAACCTGGTCCCTTTTTTTTCATAGCTCAAGCTTTAAGTAATGAAAAAAGCACATGACAATGTATTGGCTGAGACCGAGGCGGCACTGCTTAAAATATGGAATCAGGAACTTGATGGAAGTTGTGATGGTCACATTATCTAGCCTTTTGGGTCTTACTACGAATATAAAAACACAGTCACTGAGCCTTCGTTCCTTCCACACCTAATACCAGTCCTTTCATATATGTAATTACATTAGGTAAGCCTAATATAAGTTATTTAACCTGCACTCAGCCTGGTTAAGCAACCACTTTTCTCCTGACACATGTCCAGCCATTGAAGAGCAAAATTAAGATTCACTTTGAGTCCCGTCTCTGGCCCACTAATGAACATCTCCACCAACACCTGGGGGAATCATCTGCTACGTAATAAGCAGCTAAATAGTCAGCTATGTGTACCTGCTTTGTCAGTCTATTGTTTGGTTTCAGTAAGTATGTATGGTTTGTCAGAGCTTGTAGGTGTACGGTATCCAAAGTGGAGTATAACCAACACAATGGGCTGAAAGGGGCAGAAAATGCTCAATAGAATTAAGAGGACAAGCATACAGAAACTCTCTGTGGACTCCTAATTAAAAGCATGCCTTCAACATAATTAGTAACATTATATAATTATTTGGAAATTTAGGCCATAGCCTCTTTAAATATGTTCTGATTCAGATAACCTTTGGTTTACACCATGATACAAAGCCAGAGGAGCATCATGAGAACAATGAATATGTCTTTTATGTGTATTACATGTGTATGGGGATGGTATAGCAGTGAGGGGAGGTTTTACCAACCAAAATGACATGCCTGTTTCTTTGAAAGTAATAGTTCCTTTATTGCTTGTCTAAAAATATACACTTGAAACTGAAAGCTAGCCACAGCAACCAGTATACTTCAACAACAAACACACTGTGAAATGAAATGTTTATTTTTTTTAGTTCAAATGCATTCAAATATCAGATAATAGATGGAAAAGCGTTCTGGGCCCAAAACATTTTTCCACAAGTAACCCCACCCGTTTCCAAAGGTCACTCCAGTGAACATAGCCCTCTGTGTTGCTTGTTTAGGGCCCATTTTAATGCGTTACATCTGACATGAACATCCGCTCTCTTACAACAGTCACTCCACACCTCTTGAAAGGTAGGCGAGCTTGCACTGAGGGGTGGGGGGTGGGGGGGGGGGTGGGGAGGTCATGGAAAAGATGGTCTATTTTAGAGCGGCTATTTTTCCGGAGTGCTGAAATACACAGAGGGAAAGCATTCCTGTGATAATGAAAACTTTACAGGCATTGTTGGAGGGAGCCGAGGCAGTCCGCATATATTGATCAGCACCATTATCAACAGGTTGTACAGACATGAAAATGAATCAGTCTTAATTCTCAGACGTGTTGACAGCTGTTCTGATGGCTATCAATATAAATATCTGTATTTTTCTCTTTGGCTATCAGCCTCCAATACTGCTGAACATGGGACTTCTGGCACTTACCAGCGAGAATCCCTGTCAATGCACTGATAAAAGACAAAAACGTATTAGCCTCCAACAAATTAAACTGCTTTCAGACAATTCTGACAATAACAATGAGCAACAGTGTGGTGCTAGCAAAGAGCGTAATCTTTACTGATGCCAAGGTTTAAGATTCTGTATTGGTAAGGAAAAATTGTATCAGAGTATATTTATAGCCAATCTTCTCAGCCTGTAGATCTGAGCTTGTTTTCATCAGAATACACCAAGGATCTTCTATTCCCTTATCAACACAGTTTTTTGGTGGAGCATTGGGGTGCTGCTGTCTCTGAAGAGCTCATTAACAAGCATCAAAATACTGAGCTTGAGGGTATTTGGAGAGTGTGACCTCAAGAGAACCGGGCTTCTGTTCCTGAGGGCAGCAGCTGGTTAAAGACACACATACAGTGCATATGCTAAAGGCCGGGCTCCAGCCTAATTAAACTCGGAGGCCTACACCCGTGTGGCAGCTTTATGAGGCTCAGCTAATAACACAGATTTCTGCAGCCGCGTGTGAAGGAGCCTCTCCTCTAAAGCTCTACTTCCTGCAGGACTGGTGATGTCATGACCACCGTTATAAAAAGAACATCTGTGCTGCTCAGCAAGGAGCCTTTAGTCCAGTTTCCCATTACGCCCCAACACTGAACACGCGTGAACATCACAGAGTTTTTGTATGTGTGGGTGGGTGTGTTTTCCTGAAGATGATGATGGCTTATGTTTGTGATGTGACACCAAAGTCTGCACAACAGTAAAATGTCCAGCAGCAAACCGACCGCTAACATGGTTTCTTTTAAGCATCTCAAGTTTGTCCGACTGCTGACTTTGGCCGAGTTTGTTACATTCCTTCAAGAGAAATCTTTGGATGCTCATCGTCAGATACTTTCCTGAAGTTATTCAGGGATGAGACATCCATGTGCTGGGAAATGTATGGCCAGTTTAAGACAACCTCTGCTCTTTTTCATGTCATATAAACATTCTCTTTTTCTGTTACTTTGCTCATGATTAGGCATCTCTGTTTATTTGTTATACATGGAGCAGCAAAAGCCAATTCATTTTCTCGATCAAAGAATCACTTGGTCCTAAAAAAAAAAAAGGCAGAAACTGAGCATTATATTTCCCAAAGAGTTTTCTCTCTCTGACCAACAGTCTTAAGAGTTTATGGCATATCCTCCGCTTCTCTATCGTTCTTGTAAAGACGTTTCAGATTGCTGACGATCAAAAATATTTCTGGTGTGGTTCCAGTGGCCTGGTAATTAGTTTGTGCGCCCCATGTGCAGAGGCTGTGTTGTCCTCAGGTGGCTGGGGGTTTGAAACCAACCTCTGGCTCCTTTCCTGTATGTCATTCCCCATGCAGTCACCTCTAATTTCTGACTCTATCCAATGTTATATCTCTCTAATAAAGGCATAAAAAAAAGCCCAAAAATAAATCTTAAGAAAATAAATCAAGTCCTAGTCTGCAAGAAATCAGGACCTGCATGTGCAGACGCAAAAGGTTCAGCAGATAACATGTTCTTTTAAATGATTATATTTTGGGCCATTCTCCCCTTTATTTGATAGGATAGCTGAAGAGTGTCAGGACACTTTGAGAGGACTGCTGAGATGCCCCTGTACATGGGGAGTGCACTAGTGAAATCCAGCTCCAAACAACTGCTGGATCCTGGGTTCTTACAGTGCATTGAGTTTGAGAATATAGAGTGCTGAATCTCTCTCACTCTAAGCCAAACAGCCAAAACAAAGCGGCAGAGAGAGGACAGGAACAGCCTTGAGGGGTTCTTGTAGATCCAAAATACTGAACAGTTTCCCGACAACATATAGAGGTTTGTTTTAAATAAGCTCTAAATTCTAACTAAACAGGGATCGACTGGAGGAGATTTTCCATCACAACACCTACGCCATGTCTGCACTGCTTGCCCCGACTGACTTCATGTGGGCAGCTGAGATTTATTTCAGAGATTTTGGAGAAAAATGTTCCTGTTTGGATTTCCTGCCTCTTCATTCATTTGCTATACCATTGGTTTTAGTCTATTGTGGCTTTATACTGTTTCTCAATGCACAATTCCTTCAATATTTACTCTGAGATCGATGAAGAGAGCACTCTTTGGTCTTTTTTTTTTTTAAAACACACCCTCCCCCACACCTACACAAGAGTCAAAAGTACAGCTATCAACCAAGCTGCCAGTGAAAGGCCAGTCTTGTTGCTGTGGTTTAAGTGCACCTGCTCCAGTACAGGCCAGTCTATCGCATCATTCACAGCACACACAGTGACGTGAAAATGAACACCAAAAAGGCTGTTCACATACAGACCAAGCTGTTTATTATTGTTAGTAAAGATCACCATCTTACTTGTTTTTAAATTCAAACCAAGAGTCTCTTTAACATTTGTACCACACTGAAACAAACACAAAGACACACTGTCAGCCTTGTCTTCATGTTTGTCTGACATCAATACCATCTGTAATTGATATTCATGGCACATTTAAGCTGTGCTCAGTTCAACTTGTTTCCTCTAACCTGCAGCTGGAGACTCAGCCATGTGAAAAGCTCAAAACTCACAACTCTGGGCTACAGAGAAGCACATCTCAGACATTTTCATGTGCCCAAAAATAGGCACTGTTAACGCTGCAACCCCCGTCATGGGTTACTGCTCTGTCCTCAGAAGAGCATGCTTTTGTTTTGTACAAGTTGTTTCACTGTTTGTTAGAAACATGTGATATGGCAGGCTGATATTTTGGTGCGGAGTTAAAATGTACTTCCTTCAAGCTCGGACCTAGAAGACCCCCCTTCTGCCCCTGTTCACAAAACCGACCACAGGGTCTCAAGACCTTCATGCTTTCTACTTTACAAAACAAAAACAATCTTCCCACGCCACACTTAACTGCAATACCGGCAAACAAACAAGTCCACGCTTGCACTGAGCATAACTTGCATGAATTCAAGCTTACAGCCCGTATGTGTGCAACAGGACTTCTTGGACACCCCCCCCCCCATCACCAAAACATGAAAAGTCTCCGTTTTGATGTCTGTCCTGCTAAAAAAAATAATAAAAAAGAAGAAACAAATCGGCTTTTTCGGCACTTACAATTTTACTGAGATCCATTTTGGTCCCAGGTAACGGAGCTGGAGAGGAGGAGGTCCGCTGGCTTTATCCTAAACGCGGAGAAGCCTAATTAGTAACGGGAAAACGATTGTGGGAACAAACGCATTTGGGAGGAGAAGAAGAAGAAGAAGGAGGAGGTGGGGGGTGGGGGGTGGAGCGGACCCTTAGCTCAACATTGTCCCGATTTGGTATTAAAATGCTCCTCTATCCTTCCCTCCTTTCCTTCCTTTCGCGTCCCCCTTTGGTCTTCTCCGCGCGCCCCCAAGTGCTCCCTTATCAACGAGGACTTTCAGCATCAGTCCGCCGACAATGCGCCTCTGTCCGGGAGGAACAACACAGAGCTACCGCTGATATCACCCGCTCCTCTTATAGTTAAAGAACACCCTGTTTCGCCTTCGCTTAACAGCCCCACATAGCGACGAAGAACAAGGCAGTGGGCTCCCTTTATTTTGCAAATAGCCCGCTCTCGTGTTTAACAATAGTAGCATGGAGCCTGCATAGTGGGTTGGCTCTAAACCCCGGTGGTTCCCAAGCTCGGGTCCGGGGACCGCTGGGGGGGCCTGTAAGAGGGAAGTCGACGGACAGAGGGAGGGAGTAGAACTAAATGAGAATATAAACAGCTGGATTTTCTCTGTTGTTGCATCATTCGTGGTGGCAGTGTGGTCACAGTTTGACTTATCCATCACTTGCATCGCCTGCTGAAGAGGACAAAAGACTAGCCAGGAATGCCCTTCAATGTTCCTTATGGTGATGATGAGTCAATAGTTGAAGGGACATATGTAAATGACACCTCCTCTGAATCCTGCTCAGTGTGTTCCCCCTACACACACACACACACACACACACACACACAACCACATATGATCAGAACTACAAAGCTCTGTTAAACAGTGCTTAAAACATGCCACAATAGTACACGGCCACGCTTCATTAAGCACATTGCTTTTCTAAAGGAATTAAGGCCTGTTCCAGATGTTAACCTTTAAGTCTTTCTCCAGGTGTGCATGCACTGATATATGCCTATACATCTGCAAAGCATTTGAAGCCTTGGCAGGCGCAGCACAGCCTCCACCGTGAAACACTTGTAGCTAACTGATGCCCCCATCTGGCTCATGTGAGACTGTCAACTCAAACATCCCTTCTGTCTTACGGGACATACAGATGTGTTTTGTTTGACGTGGGGCTTAGCACAGAAGACATTTTGACATTTTTCAAAGTAGGAAAACAAGGTGTAAATAACAAAATTATTGACACGTAAAAAACTGATTTGTTTTAGTGCATACTGGTTCAATAAGCCTAACAACTGAAAGACTATAACAGAGCCATCATTGATGTGATGGGACACTCTTTCAAATTTGTTACAATATGTTAAATTGGAAATTGAAAAACCTTGCATGAACCTGTATAGTCTATCTAAAGTCTTTATCTATACATTTTTTTTAAATGTATTCCCGGAATACTGTTTAATCTAAGTTGCTAATTGATTCTTCATGAGTGAAAATTAATTTAAAAGTATTATATTGCTGTTTTACTTACGTATGTCTGTTGAAGTCATTTTTAGAATCGCAATAAATAACCTAATTAGTTTACCTTTACCCTATCCTTTTTGTTTTCCTGTTCTATTTAAGCTGAATGCACTTTAGTTCAAAACCCTCATATGACCATGACCAACAGAGTCCAGGCCACGATAATCAATATGCTTCTCACCATCCAGGCTGCACAACATAAACAGTCTGTTTCCAGACAATGCCGCCTCTTTTCCTGACCCAGTCTTTTCACTTCCTGGTACGGAGTGGGCCCAATGATGGGAGTGCAGGCTCACACAGCATTTCTCACATACAGCAGGCCCACTCTGTCCCCGCCTGGCTTCTCACTTCTCACCACTCAAACCCCCTCGGGATCACAATCAGAATCACAATTGTTTTTCTGCCTACAAGGTTTACACAAAGAAGAACTTTTCTGTTGTTTATCAGCCTATAATAATACCTGAGTGTAGCTATATATTATTTAAAAACAACCGTCGTGTCCTCAGGTTTTAAAAAAAAAAGTTAATGTTTGCTCTAAACGTATTAGAGGCATGCACTTTAATTTGTGCTAGAAGTGTCAATGATGTGTCCTGTCCTCATAACCATCTGTGTTCTAATAAGATTTTGGAAATCACGTTGAGCTTTAATGACGGAGTAATTTCCTCCCTCAAATATTAAGGACAAGATGAAGATTAATGTTAAGGCCACAATCTGTTTCACATAAAGGTGAAATCCTTTTTTTCATGATAGATTTTTTTTTTGTGTGTCTTAAAGTAAATCTGTCCATATAATGTATTGGAACACCGCTTTCACTTGAATTCCCTTTGAATTATTTCTATTAAGTTGCAATACTGAACCATGGTCTGATTGGAGAAAGCAGGATATCCACAGCACAGAGGTTAAAGTCCTCCAATGTAGACATGACTCAATACTCACCCTGAGGCGGTGACAAGAAGTGTATTAGGCTAAAGTACAATATGACTATGATGATTCTAAGCAGTCTGCTGCATTAAAGCAGGCTTTCTGAAGATGTTTAAGATTAAGCATCAATCCGACTCTGCTGCGGTCCTTTGCAGAGGTTAAAATGAACCATTTTAAAAAGAGATATCTAGATAATTAGACAACGTGTTGCTGCTTTCACAAAGTCTGTCAAAATCAAAGTTTGATTTGATGAATTCAGGGGAAAGTGATTCATGCATATCACGGGCCAATTTAAAACAATCAGTTGCAAGGAATTGGATAGCGTAGCAGTTATTTCGGGTGTCATCCCTCCACTCTCTCCTCCCAACATTTTCTGTCTCTCTTCAGCTGTCATACCCAATAAAGGCAAAAATGGCCAACATCATCCCATGCATTATGCAATAAATAAATGATTATAAGTGAATATAATGTAAATAGTAACATTTTTGTTCTAGATTACTGAAAATGCTGTGATGTTGTTGTTAAACAGCAGCACACAGCATATTTCAATGAACATCAGTTTAAACCCTGTTATGTGATTATTTTGCTGAATTGTCAATTATCATAACTGTAACATTTACTTCCACCAGATCACCTTGCCATAACAACTGCAGTGTATTTTGCCACTTATCTGAGGCCACACATGTTGAAGCAGGCTAATTTGCATAGGCCGACCACACACCGAATTCCATGATGTAGACTCCAGTCTGACTTTTGACCTCTGCTTAAAGTGAAACAAAAAGCAACACTGTTGTCTCTTTACGTTTTACTGTACTGCAAAACATAGAGGACACGTCCAAAACAATCTGTAAACCAAAGCCATTGTTAATGCAGCTAAGAACTCATGGGTGCACTTTGTTCCACTTACTGACCTGTCACTCATGTCCAGCTCTATTATTCCACAGCCAGTCAGTGCAATGAGGCCACAAACCAGCGCCTGCTGTTTCTGCTGCCTCAGTGCTTTTAATGGTTTGCTTTGATGCCTGCATGCTCGTCTGTGTGTGTGGACACCAGGTATGTTCATATCCCTTCATAACTTTACTTTATTTTGAACTGCAGGATGTAAAAGAAGCAAAGAAACCTCGAGCGATGAGTGATGGAGGAGAATACCACAAATGGATAATTAAGACAAAAGAAAGCGGAGAAAGAGAAGCGGGAAGACGGGGTGATTAAAACATTTTCTTGTATAAGTCCTCCCTGCTGGGTCCTGTATGTGCGCATGGGCCACAGACCTGCTCCTATACCACAGCTGCCAGGGCACCAAACAGCAAAAACAAAAGGGTCCAAACAAGCAGGCTGACAAGGGGTTAGAGGTCATACAGTACCAATGATTTCTCCCCTGGTGTTAGCTTAGTTTGTATTGCTCCATAATGTCATAAAAAGACAATTTATTTGGTTTAAATGAAAACAATTTAAATCCTTTTAATGGCCGCTGAGTTGTAACACCTCAATGTAACTTTGTGTGCATTATTAAAGGTAAACACTAGTTAGCAGGTAAGCATTTGAAACAGCTAGCTAAAATTCAAAGTCATGAAGCAAGTTAGTAATAGGTTGCTGAAGGTGGTGAACCAACTATATAAGCTAGAAGAAATGAAAAAGAAATTCATATTGAATAGTTAAAACTGACGAATAAACTGTTTAAAAGGCTAGGCCAAGGTCGGATAGAGCTAGTTGGCTATACAAGCCTGTTATACACATAGCTTAATAAAGAGTAGTGTAACAGTTGAAATATTTAGCTAAAAATAAGAACTAACTGATGAAATGAAGAGTTAAAAAGTGACAGATTAATGCTTGATAAAAGACTGAAACGCCCAGAGGGTGCAAACTTAAACTTAAACATCTCCTCATATTGAAAGTACAATCAGACAGAGATCAGGCTACGCTGCTCTATAAGAACAGCTAAACACAGACCCTCACTCACACTAACAGGGCTGACCTCTGTGTGGAGAAGTTAAGATGAGGGCAGGAAGAGTTTTAATTCAAGGCATTAATTATGTAATACATATGTGGAGTCACTCAGGGGCTCGCTCTGCATCCCCAGCTGAGGAACTGGTGCCAAAGAAGTTTCCCACAAGCACTCATTATGGTTCATATCGGTCCAGAGATTACAACCTACACCAGCTTTTTAAAGAAAAAAACCTCCTCCTCTTGGCTCTGACAGCTCAGAGACGGTTTTGCACTCGAGGAGAGATTTGGTATCGCCGACATTCTTGGCCGCAATGAAGATGAAGAAAACCAAACAGTGTTCAGTATAAACTTGTGTTGTTTACTGCGTGGTTTTCCTTACTCTTACTGAGAACACAATAGAACACAGACCTTAAAATATTGCAATGATGTTTGAGGAAAAACACACCAAAGAATAAATCCCCGCTAAACTCTAAATGAAAGAGTCTGCTGCTATTATGAGGCGAAACATGTCATTAAAAGCCAGCGTTGTGTGCTATCTGGCTGCCCTGTTTCGTTCTTTTTATAACCCAGTGTGGACACTATGACAGAGGGGATTTTGAACACACCCTGGATGTTTACCCAACTCCGCCGAGAGAGATAGGCGAGTACTTCACATAAATAGAGTTTTGTAGGACTATGCCTTTAAGGCCAAGATAGGAGTCCCTGCTGCTGACACTACTTATCTTTGTTTATTGGCATCATATTATCTAATAACTTTACAATTGATCGTGGGCCATAAACTTGAAACTTTCAGAAAGTATGTCGCGACAAAGAGACGGCTGGAAATGTGAAAATCAATGACAGCCAGGCGGGTGGACAGACAGGAGGTGAAAGCCAACTACCCAGCAGATTTGGGCAGCTTTAGAGCACAACAGATCAGATGAGATTATCTCTCACTGATCCCCTGTAAAGTCGACAGCAGATTCATTGATTCCCTCGCTGCCTGTCACAGCTCTGGATCCCCAGTCAAAAGTCAACCACGAGAGGGGGGAGGGGGGGGATAAAACACACACACAACAAC